AGGAAGGAAGGAAGGAAGGAAGGAAGGAAGGAAGGAAGGAAGGAAGGAAGGAAGGAAGGAAGGAAGCAAATGACAGTTTGAGAATTCCACTGAACTGATCATGTCAAATCTTGCTATCATCCATCTATCACCTGATTCACGTTCCCCAGACACTGAAACAGGGAGGCGGCGCCAGCCTGGCTGGAAATCTGCAGTCAGCACAGTAGGGTCCACAAGGCTTGTGGCAGCTCTGCATCTGACCCTCGGCAGCGTTCGGTCTCTAATGCCCTCTAGTGTTCAGCCTTGTTTGCACCAAAGAGGACAGCTCCTCTTTTAGTCATTATATTATCTATCATCCATCTACCTATCTTTTAAAATATTTTTATCTTTGTGTGTACGAACGCATTGTTTGCATGTGTGAAAATGTACCTGTGTCATGCAGTGCCCAAGCAGGTCAGAAGAGGGTGTTGGATCCCCTGGAACTAGAGTTATGGATGGTTGCTGGCCACCATGTAGGTGCTGGGAATCGAACCTGGGTCCTCTGCAAGAGTAGCCAGTGCTCTTAATCACTGAGCCAGCTCTCTAGCCCCTATCTCTCTCTCTCTCTTTTTTTTTAAAACCCAGTAGATGGTCCAGTTTCAGGAGGGTTTTTCAGACCCTTTTTCCTGACTGTACCTGCAACATGTCCTAGGCAGTGGAACCATAGGAAGCTTTGGGAAAACAAAAGTATGTAATTTTTTTTTATTTTTTTGAGACAGGGTCTCCCTGTAGCCCCAGCTGTCCTGGAACTCACTATGTAGACCAGGCTGGCCTTGAACTCACAGAGATCTGCCTGCCTCTGCCTCCCGAGTGCTGGGATTAAAGGCGTACACCCAGCTAAAAGTATGTAATTTTTTAAAAAGCTGGTGGAGCTGGATTTGGGTGGGGTTGGAACCTGTTATCCTCAAATGGTTGTTAATGGGGCTGGAGAGCTGGCTCAGCGATTAAGAACACTGACCAGAACACTGGTCCTCTTGCAGAGGACCCAGGTTCAATGACCAGTATCCACATGGTGGCCAACAACCGTCTGTAATTTCAGTTCCAGGGGATCTGATGCCCTCTTCTGACCTCCTTGGGCATTGCATGACACAGGTGCACTTAAATACATGCAAGCAATGCACTCATACACATAAAATAAAAATAATATATGTATTTTTAAATGGTTGCTAAGGAACCTAAATGAAGATGGTAGGATATTCCCTGAGACAGGATTACAACCCAGTTTCCATTGGACAAGATTACAATGAATAAAATAAAAACCTAGCTCACAGGGCTACAGGAAGGTAGAACATATTAACAAAGTTGCTTAAGGTTCCCAGAAAATGTCTGGGTAAAGGTGCAAGGCCCAAGGTCATTCACATCCAGGCCTTCAGCCCATATTGTTACTGTTTGACATAAAATATGGAAGGGCTGGTGAGAGGGTTCAGTGGGTTAGGAAGCTTGCCACCAAGTCTGCTTGAGTTCAATCCCTGGGACCCACATGGTGGGATAAGAGAACCCACTTCTGGTAAGGTGCCCCCTGACCTTCCAATGTGCACAAGAAATAATACTTTAAAATGTTCAAATCTGGGACCAGAGAGCCAGCTCAGCAGTTAAGAGCACTGGCTGCTCTCAGAGGACCCAGGTTCAGTTCCCAGCACCCACATGGTGGCTAACAACCGTCAGTAATTCCAGTTCCAGGGGGTCAAACGCCCTCTTCTGACCTCTGCAGGCACTGCATGATTCGGGTTTCATCTACATACATGTAGGCAAAATACATACACATAAAAAATTATCATATGTATGATATATATTATATATCCATCTATCTGTCCATCTATCCATCTGTCTGTCTATCTAAAAGTTGTTAGCTTAGCCGGGAGTGCTGCACACCTGTTATCCGAGCACTCAGGAGGTGGAGGCAGGAAGATCAGGAGATCAAGGCCAGCCTTTGCTATATAGTGAGTTTAAGGTCAATTTTTGTGTGTGTGAGGGGTTTTGTTGTTCTTTCTTTCTTTCTTTCTTTCTTTTTTTTTTATCTTTTTGAGACAGGATCTCCCTGTAGCCCCAGCTGGCCTGGAACTCACAGAGATCCGCCCGCCTCTGTCTCCCGGAGTGCTGGGATTAAAGGCGTGCGCCAGCCACCACACCCGGCTAAGGTCAATTTTTAAAAAAATAAAATAAAAAAGAAGGAATTTTCAGTTTTTGGAGCATGAAAAAAACAAGTAGGAGGCCAGATTCTGCTGATCTCCTAGACAGACAGTGAATCGCTGAAACTCCTCAGAAAAAGAGAAAAAAAACGGGCTTTCCAGTCACCTGCCGCTGCCCTCGCGCGCCTCCCTCGAACCAACCCTTCCACAGCCTCGCGCCCCTCCCTCCAGGCCCCGCCCTCCTCCATAGCAATTGGTCCAGTCTCTCGCAGAGGCACCGCCCCACTCTGTGACAGGCACTGCATGTAGCCAATGAAGTGAGCTCAAGCCCTTCCTGAGGCGGTTGGGGGCGGCTATGGGTGTGGCGTGGGCGGGCCGTTGGGGGGCGGGGCGTACAGCTTGGTAACTGTTGCCGGGTGCAACGCCCCGCTTCGCTGAGGGCAGCGCAAGACCCGAGCGGGCGGGCCGGAGCAGGGTGCGGGCGCGCAGCGGGCGGTGGAGCGGGAGGAGGAGCCGCCGCCATAGATACTGTAGCCGTGGAGACTGTTACTTACCAACGCCGGGCGACACGCAGCCGCCGCCGCGGGAACCGCAGCCCGAACTCGCCGCCGAACTCCAGGTGAGCGCCGCGGGCAGCTGGGAACCGACAGCAGGGCCGGGCGGTGGGGACCCCGCTGGGGGGGGTCCCGGAGGTCGCAGCGCCCCGACTCCTCAGCGAACTTCCGCGGGGCACCCGGATTCCTGGCCGCCGGACTTGGGGGACCCCTCGCAAAGTCTGCCAACTCCTAGTGCGGGAACCTTGCTCGCTCTGGAGCTCCCCGACTTGAGTTATTGGGGGCTGACCCCCATCTGAAACGCCCTGGATTGAGGGCATCCTCTCTGGCTCCTCAAACTCAGTTAAGTGTGCAGGGACCTCTTCCGCTTTTGACCCCCCAATCTGAATTTTGGGGGACTGACCCTAAGGTCCCTATCTGAAATGCCGTGCATTAGAAGAGACCCCTCTCAGACTCTTCAAACTTTGTGAAATACAGGGACTTCTTCTCACTCTTGACATCCCCAAATCTAATTTTGAGGGGTGGGGACCTTCCGAAGACCCCCCTCCCTGGAGGTTTTATCCTGAAACGCCTTGAATGTGGGGGGCGCCCCAAAGGAGCGCCTCGCTTTCATTTCCCGCAAAGCTTGAACTGACAGATCCCACAAACCCGCTTCTCAGTTTTACTCTCCAAAACGTGACTTGGGAGCTCCCCGAAATGGGCTTCTCACCTTTAAGTCCTTGAAGACCGAATTAGGGGGGCTGCTCATCGGCTCCTCTCTTTCTCTCCCCCCGAGTCTGAAAATCGCAGGACGCCGTCCCTCTTCTGAAATCGGGGCCCCTGGAAACCCCTTCTTTCACCCCTGAATTTGACTTCCAGGGACCTTTTTTGTTTCATCCCAAATTTGTGCGTCTCAACCCCAACCCTCAGAAATATGGAGTGACTGGGACTCCAGGCATACTGGATTTGGGGGCATCCACCCCGGAACCCCTTTCTCCAGCTTTGACTAAAATAGCGCAAAGCTTTCGTTCTGGAAGGAATCCCACTTTTCCTTCGCACTTTCTTTGCCACTCCCAAACTCCCCAGGGCTCAAACTTCCTGGGGCCTCGGTTCTCCCCTCTGCACCTCAAATCCTGCCGCTGAGGGGTCCTCAGACACCCCGTCCTCTCTTCTTCATCGCTGAGTTTGGGGGATCCCGGGTCCTCGGATATTTTCCCACGCTTGCCCAGGAAACTCGTGCACACACATCTCTCTCCGCAAAGATCGGGAATCCAGAAAACTGAAACTAAAAAAAAAAAATCTATGAACTATTTGGTGGAATAGCCCCAAAAGCGGGCTGGTGCTTTCTCTTGAGGCCGGGGAAGTGCGTGTACAAGCTTGTGTGCTTAACCCCTCCCCGTGCACAGCACACCCCCAAAACACTTGGTGTTGGACTCCTAGCCCCTTCCCACAGGCGGGAGGTTGTTTCCTTGGCCCCCCAGGGAGCTCAGCTGCCCAGGACAAGCTACTAAAGTGGTGGTGGTGGCTATGCCTAGGGTACTTCTCCTCATTTTAACCTCTGGGCTGCCAGCCAGGGAGGGAGCCGGGAAATTTCACTGCGCTAGCAGCTTGGGGCTGCCTGCCTGTCTAGAGATTTCATCCCATTTTTTAGGATGTCTTTAGGATTCCCTCTCCCTCTCCCTCTCCCTCTCCCTCTCCCT